CCCCTTTTCGTGGCAGTCGGATCAAGATTCCGTGTGTGTGTCCGTGTAGATTAAAATCTTTGGAAAAAAAGGAGGAAAAGAGTCCACCTCGAACACTCCCTCAAGACGACCCGGGCTTTAAAAAGGGATACAGCATTGGATGCGCTTGTTCGTCTCTTTTGTGACAGATGCTTAAACCGACGTCCAAACCTTAGGGTTAGTGTTTCATTTTTTAAAAATATTTCTAATTTTTTTTTTTACTACACACCCTTTTGAATCGCTTTTTATTTTTTATCCTTTGATTCTGCCCTGCCGTATCCCTGCCTCCTTATCCCCCCTCACTCCCTCCCCGGCGAGCGGGTTGATGGGCTCCGCGGCTCCTGGGCAGCCAAGGTTCTCCCGCGGCTTCTGCCGAGCTCCGCCGTCTCACAGGGCGGCGCGGCGCCGACAGCCTCCGCCCCCCTCTTCCCGTGTGTAGCGCCGCAGGTTCTAGACGAGCTTTTTCTTTTAAGTGCAAAGCCGAGGCGAACAGCGACTCCCCACTCCCCCCCCGGTTTTTTCCTAATTTGATTTTTTTTTCCTCTCTTGCGCCCTCGCAGCGGGCGGAGGCGCGACCGGCGCAGCCCCCCGCAGGAGGCGGTGGGACCCGCGGCCCCAGCGTGGAGACTGGCGCATGTCACAGTCCGCCTTGGTCCTGCCGCCGCCCGCCGCTGGCCGCCGCCGTGTCTCGGCTCCCGGCCCCTTCATGCGCGGCCGACGACATGCCCGTTTTGTAGCCGGAGCCTCCTCCTCTCGTCCCGTATGTTCAGGACCAAACGTTCGCTGCTCGTCCGGCGGCTCTGGCGGAGCCGTGCACCCGGCGGAAAGGAGGAGGCGGCGGCGGCGGGCGAGTCCTGCGCGGCCATGGCCGTGGCAGAGGCCGAGGCCCGGGCGCCTGCCTGCGGCGGGGGGTGCGGGTGCTGCCCTGGCAAGGCGGGCCGCGGCGGGCGGGAGTCGGCGGGCGCGGAGGCGGAACTGAAGGCGCTGATCCACGCCATGCTGAAGCGGCTGAAGGTGCGGCAGCTGGAGGAGCTGCTGCACGCCGTGGAGTCCCGAGGTGGGGCGCGGACCCCCTGCCTGCTGCTGCCCGCCAAGGCCGACTCCCGGCTGGGCCAGCACTGGTACCCTCTGCCGATGCTGCTCTGCAAGGTGTTCCGCTGGCCCGACCTCCGCCACTGTTCTGAAGTGAAGCGGTTATGTTGCTGTGAATCCTACAGCAAGGCTCACCCCGAGCTTGTTTGCTGCAACCCGCACCACCTCAGCCGGCTCTGCGAGCTAGGTACGGCGCCGGAGGGAGCAGGGGTACGGGAAGATGGAAGGGATGGAGGGATGAAGCCCCATTCGCCTTCCAGCCCACCAATTTTTTTTCCCCTCTGGAAAAATAAAAAAAACACCAAACCAACACACGAAACCTCCTTTCCATTGCCTTAGTTTATGGGTTTTTTTCTGTCTAGAGGGAAGGGGGGAGTAGTCTCACCGTCTCCGTGCGGTGCCGGGGGTTAAGGGCCGGGCGGCCCAAGCGCTGCTGCGGCTCCGCCGAGCCAAGGAGGCCCCGATTAGACAGCCCGAGTAGATAGCAGGGAGGCTGGCACCAGACGGCCCCTTTTGTTTATCTGACAGCTAAATATCAAGGCAATCACCGCCTCGCTGCCCTGCCTCCAACCCCCAGAGCTAAGACAAACAGTTTTGCTAAAATAATACCACTGTTATCATAAATTCCCATATTTTTTCTTTTTTTTTCTTTCTTTCTTATGGCTCTGCCTTTATTTTGTCTGTACTTTTCTAATTCCAGAGTCTCCCCCTCCACCCTACTCCAGATATTCAATGGATTTTCTCAAGCCAAATGGTAAGTGGACTTTTTGCAATGGAGACTACAGATAAAAGGGAAAACAGCCCCTTTCTTAGCTAAGGGAAACATCTCCAGCCTTTGTCATGCATTTTGCTTTTGGGCTGCTTGCCTCTGTGCTTCCTGCTACTCCTTGAAGAATTAACATATAATTAACATATAATTTATCTAAGACACCCTCTGCACAAAGTAGGATTTTAAAACTTTGGCAAGAAACTATAGGAGGGATTGCAGTGTAGCACAGGCCTGCATTGCTCGAGTCAGACAGGAAAATCGTGGGGCCCATTTGGAAATGGCAGTACTCCCACACCCCGAGGTGAATTTTGTAGGGATTTATGCTGGGAACCAGTACCTCATCTCCCTGATTCCTGGGAATCCAAATGAACCTCGATAAATGGACTTGTTAGAAATCTTTGTCTTTTTGAAGGAACTTAATCCCACCTTGTCAGGTTGAAAAAATTAGGAAAAGGGGTTGAAATGGATTTTTTCTTGTTCTTTTTTTTATTTTTTAGCACAGCTTTGAATGCCTGTTGCTTGTAATTGAATGTCAGGGTGCCAGGGGAGAAGCCCATTTGAGGCTGGCACCAGCTCTTTTGTGATTGTCTGCATAAATGCTTGGTTGGCATTGAGCTCGCCGGGTGTGAGATAAATCAGTCTGGAAGAAGGAGGAGATGTGGGGAGAATCAGAAAGGGGAGCAAGTCAGGAAGGAGCAGCTCTTGGCTCCTCAAGAATTAGTGGATCTGGGGTATTGGCTGGAGCACAGTGGTCTCTGTGATCATGTCCCATGGCCATGGCAGTCAGGAAGGGCATGGTGGTACACGGAGGCAAAGAAGACCAATACTAAGTTATTGTTTTGGGTTTGGGATTTTTTTGCCAAAAGAACATTTAATGTTAAATTGTTGCTCATCAGTTTTTTGGGACTAAAAGAAACCCCAACCTTGAGCTTGCTTTGGTACTGTGTGGGGTCCCATCTTGCCTACTGTTCCTTTGGAGGCTAGACTGTTTTTTTCCCCCCCTCTGCACACTTTTTAAGAAACACTTATAAGTCCTTTTATGACTTGTGGAAATAAGCAAAGATGTTTAACTCAAAATTGGGTCACAAAGCATGAACTATTTTGCCTCAGCATGAAAAAGCCAGGAGATAGAGAGTCATGAATGAAAGAAGGATATCTGGAGTAGGTTCAACATCCTGAGCATGTGCTGGTATGCAGAATGGTTGCTCTGTAATAGACTTTGAGGGTCTGCCAGGTTGTGAAATTTTGTGGGTTTGTGTGAGATTGGCATAATTTTGCCTGCATCCCTGCAGTGCTTCCCCAAAAGTTTTTATTTCTTCTGCCTTTATTGCTTTTCTTTCCACTCACCAATGATCCTGGCATGGGGTGTAAAGAGCTTCGGAGCTGCAGGAGAGAAGGTTTAAAGCTTGATTTTAGTTTCCTGAAAAGATGTTAGGATAAATCTGTTAACAGGGTTTAAACATCCAATCTGCCTCTGCCAGGACCTCATTTTCAGTTAGCCCAGTGATATATTTATTAATCAGCAAGTGTTGACATAAGGTAGCAAAACGTGTAAACAGAAAAGCTGCAGAACATGAATGTGCCATTTTGAAAGGAAAAGTTATTCCTATTGGCCAATAGGAAGTGATTAATGCTGCCCATCAGAAACACAGGAACAACTGGGTTACTCACCCAAAAAATCCTCTTTTTTTTTTTCCTTTTTGAAAGAAAAATCTGTTTGACAGCTGAACTCTTTACTGGGCTGCAACAGGCTGAAGTGGAGCCTGGAAGTCTGTTGTTGCAGGTGGGTTTTCCAAGCTCAGCGTTTCTTGGCATTTCTTCTGGGGAGGGACCAAGAGTTTCCTGTCTCAGCCATCTTCTCCCCTGGGACCTTGGGGGGAGGATGGTATCTCCATTTAGACTTGGGCAGCTGCATCTGCTGATAGAGCTGGGAATAAACATTTAGCAAGAAACTTTTGCTTTTCCATCAAGTGTGATAGTGGCAACAAAAATATTTAAGTATTTAGTGCCATGTCTTGTGTTTGATATGGACAGACAGACAGGAATACCAGGACCAATATGGGCTCTCAAAGTGGTCACCAGTGCTCATGATCATAGAATCACAGAATGGTTTGGGTTGGAAGGAACCTTTAAAGCTCATCCAGTCCAACCCCCCTGCCATGATCTGGGACATCTTCAACCTGACCATGTTGCTCAGACCCCCATCCAACCTAACCTTTAATGTTTCCAGGCATGGGGCATCTACCACCTCTCTGGGCAACCTGTGCCAATATTTCACCACCCTCATTGTAAAAAATTTCTCTATTCTGTCTAGTCTGAATCTCCCCTCTTTTAGATTAGAACCATTATGATGGGGATTCAACTGTTTTTTTGGAGGTGATGGAGGCTGATACAGGCTGTGTCACTGGCTGGAGGAAAGCAGGGATGGACAGGAAGCTGGGGGTCTGCTTCAGGCAGTGAAATGACACATCAGTTTGTGCACTGGCAGAATAGATAAAACTATTACAAAGTATTACAAAGTATAAAAGCACACTATAACAATCTGGCAGAGTGGAAAGATCTGCCCTTGATGGCCAGGTTACCTGCAGGAAGGTTGGAGGTCCAGGCTGGCTTGCTCATTCATAGAATCCTAGAATGGTTTGGGTTGGAAGGGACCTTAAAGATCATCTAGTTTCAAGTCTCCTGCCATGGGCAGAGACACCTTTCATTAGACCAGGTTGCTAAAAGCCCCATCCATCCTGGCCTTGAACACTTCCAGGGATGGGGAGGACATTCATCAAGGAGAGGACTTTCCCTCTTCCTTATATGGGACATTTGCAGGCATGGGTGACAGTGGCTTGCACGGGGCTAGGCTCACCCTGCAAGCCTGGAGGCATGTGAGCGTTCAGCAT